TGACCACTGGGCTTTGTGCTTCCCACAATGCAAATAGCAGATCCCTATTCAAAAGCTTTTCAAACCCTCTTACATTTGCAAGATGAGCAAGAATTTGTTTCCACCAACCAGGGTACCTCTTACCTTGTAAAACAGAACGGGCTGCGATAGTGTACCACTCAAAAATACATCAAAGGAAGCTTAAACATGCTCATTTTCATACTGATATGACCAAGTCTTAAAAAATTCAAATCCTAAGAAAACAACCAAAAAAACTCCAATAAAGCTGAAGACTTCACTTAAATGAATTTTTTCTGCTTACTTCAAAAACTCCTCCTTTCAATAAGTGTATGAAACAGAGGAGTCCCTTGCTGTTGCCAAATCTGCATTTTTCAGGCACATGGCCCCTGCCAGGTTTTGTTCACAGAGAGTCCATCTCCATACTCTGTTGCTGGCTCACGCGGAAGTGAAATCCTGGTCCCAGCCCTCCTGTGACAGGAGCTGAGCCACGCTGACACTTGGAAAGCTTAATTCACTGGCACTCTCAAATAGATCACTATTTCATGAAAGAACTTTTAAATAAAACAAGCACAACTGAATCAGTGTTAAGTCATGCCATAAGTCCCTGTGGCCCTGGCTCTGAAAGGAAAGCTCCATCAGCTTGTGCCACAGCAGCCCCCGATGTTACATCTCCTTGGGAGTTTAGCTCTTGTGGAGAAGCAAAGACATGCCCAGGCTCTTCCTGCTCCCACTCAAGATGCAGGTACCCATTTGTCTGTGGTGCTGCAGGCATGGCCCAAGAGGAGCAGTGACATCCCTCCCCTGGCTGCAACCCAGGTGTGACTTTCCAGTGGCAGCACAGTAACCACTGGGAGGTAGTCAAGCTTCTGCCCAAGTCCAGTGAATTCAACAGCACTGAGCACTCCCAAGTTTTCCAAGAAGAGTATTTCACTGTAACCAACACACACTACATGGTATGGGCCCTGAGCGAGGCACAGCAGGCCTTACAGCTGACTTCAGTGGGCTTTAGTTTGATCTGTAAATCCTCTTTGCTACTTCCCAAGAATGTTGCTCAACTCCCGCTGCCTTCAGCCTCACAAGAGGTAGACATAAATACTTAGCATTAGCATAGCTGCCCATGACTCATTTTTTCTCTCTTTTAAATATAGCATCCTATAAACTTGGACACATTCTGAGCAGTAAAACTCATTGTTACTGTTCACCATGCCACCAAAACACACAGCTCCCTCCCCCAAAACCAAAACACTGGTGCCCCTCACAAGGCAGAGATGGAGTAGTGGTGGCTCTCCTCCCCTCAGGGAGCCCAGGCAGCATTGAGACACAGCACAGTGACAGCAGATGTGGAGCTGGGCAGAAAGCTCCATCATCAGACCAGCCATTCATATCAACTTTATTAAGAAGAGCAGAGCTGGCTCTGGGCACAGGAAGAGCACGCATTTGCCTAGAGGAACACAGTTTCACTAGCTGAGAAGCAGCCCCTGCCACCACTGGGGATGCCAGACTCACTGAAGGAGTAGGGGTGGAAGCGACATCTCTAGCTGGCAGATGCTCCCCATTCCTCATCTTCCTCCAGACATACATCACCTTCCTCCCTCCATCACCAGGCTTGAGCTTTCTTCCTTAGAAAAGCCAAAGTCTGCATTGTCTAGCCAAGCAAATGCCCCCTTGGTGCCTCAGAAGCACCAAGGAAGAACCTGATGGGAAAAACATGGACCAGATCTTGTTGGTTTCCATGGAAATTGAGACCCTATTTTAGTACCCTCCTGCCTGTCCTGCTGCAGACTTTCCTGTGTGATCAATCCTGTGTGCTGTGTTATGCTTTACTGAATACTTCAGATCCCCAACTGCACCAGTGAGATAAACAGCAGGTCCCTATCTCACAGGTATGTTGCAAAATAAATACATTTTGCATTACAAGTGTTACAGGAATGCTTTAAAAATTGCACAAGTATCAAGACTAATTCATCACTGCTCAAAAAGAACCTTAGGATTAACAGCAAATTGAAGTCATACCTATACAAACATAGAGCATGCAAGACTGTTTTCTTAGTTTATCTGTTTCTTCTGATAACCATGTTTGCCCCGGTTCCAGTCACAAGTTGTTTGAATACAGTGCACCAAATCCTGTCTGGCGAAATGCATGTTTTGTTCTGTCTACAGTGATAGCTGAGACATCAGTCATTCTTTCAGCTGTCCTAAAGACATAGCTGAAAATGCATGCTCATATCCATCCTGCTGTCAGGCGGCTGAAAAGTACATTTTTACCTCCTGGACCTCTCTATTAAGATTATCCAAGAAACTCTACTTACCACAGTATTTTTCTAATTGTTTCTTCAACATTATTATTTAACATCTGAAGGGAGTTGAGTGGCAGAGCTGCTACTCTCATTCTGGAAACTGGCATTTTTAAAGACAAGATAAACAGAAGCCTTTTCTTAAAACTTTCAGGAGTATGTGTAGCTTAAAAAGCTGATTCCAGTTTAAAATGATGACTAAGCCTCTTAGGAATCTAACTCCCGAAGTCACACAGGTAGTTTTGAATATGTTACCCTTTTAGAGTAATTATGCCATCAAGGTTCCAGTCAAAAGCTGATGAGCGTTACTAATATATGCTGGTGAGAGAGCCTGTACATGAAAGACCTTCTTGGTTTATTTACACTACAGTAAGTCAGAAAGTGCCAGCTAGGTCCCCAGCAAGAAAGCACACCAAGACTTAACTTGCACATACAAGAGTAACAGACCTGACTGCAGGAGACACTTAACCATGTTAGCCCTAAGCTCAAGGAGTAGGTTTACTGTTAACTGGCTGCAAGCTGATGCAGTTGTACCTCTTTTCACTGGAGGTGATGGAAATTTGGAGCAGCTGTTCGGTCTTCAGTGGACTAACACCACTCAGTATATAAACCAGTCTGGCCCATCACCTGAATCCTTACAAGTCACCATTCAGATATAAAATAGTCCCCAGGAAGTCCTCAGTGACATTCATGTCTAGACCAAGAACTACGCAGATACAGTCAAGAGAAGGGATGAAGATACAATAAGCCATTTTTACCACCCCACATGAAGTTATGGATGTGGTACAACATTCCTTCCAGAAGCAGACCTTCTCAAAGAGAAGGCAAGAGAGGCATTATGTTACCTGGGGGAAGGGTGAAAGAGTGTCACCAACTTTTAAAGCTGCTCTATGGTAGAAGATGAAAGTACAAGCAAGTAGTTCAAGATTTTAATCTTAAATCTATCAATAGCAAACAAATTCTGAGGCAAATTAGATTTGGCTAAATGTTAATAAAAAGTTGTAGAAGCACTGAGCATTTCTGCTGGCCAGTTCTAGCCAGAAGAGAATCAGGAAGGGGAATCCCATCCCAGCAGGTCTCAGATACTTGGATGCCTTCTGAAGTACCTCAGCATTTGCTATATTTATACTCCCAAGCCACCCTACAAAGTAGTAACTTCTACTGACTCATTTTAGAAAGAAGAAGAGTAGATTCAGCGAGAGGCAGATTCACTGGTATCTATTAGAGCTGCCGACCTTAGCCTACCCACCTCAGGCCAGTCTGTGACAAGAGAAGGTACTTGGGGGCAGGTTTCCCATCTCTTCAGCTAGCTCCAGCAACTGGACTGGTCTCCCAGATGAAACCCGAATGCCTAAGCAGCACTAAGGACCACTTACTGAAAAACTAGTGTCTGAAGAAGTAAAATTGCAGGAGAGTCAGTAATAAATACCATAAGTAGAATAAGTACAGCAAACTACTTATAAATGTTAACTTCCCCACCCCTGCCCCTACCTCTTCCCTCAATTTTTATTTCAAGAGACATATTTTTGTACAATTATTTCATCATCTAAGAACAGGTGGCCAGTTTGCCATATCTCTAGGCAAGATTTCCATACATATTACTCCTCCGCTGACATTTTCTCACATAGACACATGCATGGATCAGCAATTGGTCCACTACACTCTCAAACAGAGAATAAGAGAGTTATAAATCTCAAAAGAATGAGTATGCCAAAAAAAAATCAGCATCTGAAGTTACAGCTGTTCATTTCTCCTCTGTTCAGGAAGAGCCAGTTGTGGCTTATTGCAGATGTTATGAAGTTGATGGACTTGCTCTGGATTTACTTTGGATACAAACACTCAGGATGTGACCACTGGAGCTTTGTTTCCCCGTGGAGAAAAATACAGCCAGTGACATTCAAGTAGAAGAGGGAGGTTATTCTCCCCTCCCCAGTAAGTATCTTCTGTCAAATACCTCTGTAAACAACAACAGGGGAAAGAAGCAACAACTCCACCAAGGAGTGGGCTAATCTTCCTCCCATCTGCCAGTCCCACGCTCATTCTGTTTTCACTTGGACCAAATCCTCCCAATCCTTCATTACACTTGGGTGCCTTATACACCAAGAATAATATCATCAATCTTTGAAAGGTCACTTTCAAGGGACATTTCCATTTCCATGTCCTTTAGCACAACTTCTCTTCCTCAGCCCTGTTTTGGAAGCCTGAAAATTAATTCCCTGTTTTTCATGTAGAATCTGTCCCCTTAGCCCTGATCTACTCATTTATGACAGTAAAAGCTTATGCAAACACCACCACTATGCAAAAACACTCTCCCTTTCATTCCTGTGGATTCATGTTAATATTCTCCACCTCCAGAGTCTGAAGCACTCTCTGCGCTGAGGGCTGCACATTCCCAAGCTGAGGTGCAATCCCTCCTGCCTCCACCTCTGCGGGCAAGAGAGGTAAGGGGATGAGCAGTCACGAAGAAGTTACAATGCTGAGGCAAAAGCAGCTCCACAAGGTGCAGGGGCACCGCACCCCAGTGGAGGCCCCGCTGCAACGGCTGAGCGAGTCTGATGTGGGGAGCCACCAGGAGTGACAGCGTGGCTGCAGCAGTGACAACCAAACCAGGCAAAGCCAAATTATTAGGACTGGTGCAGCTGAAGTATGGAGCCTATAACTTTCACAGGGCAGAGTGATTCATCCTAATGAACTGACCTGACTCACCTGGAGCCAGCAGGTCAGTACGGATGCCAGGGTTGGCAGCTGTGGGTAGAGGTTCTTGGCTTGAATCCATTCACAAAAATATTTCCCAACACAAAGAAGGAAGATAAAAATAAACAATCAGAAATAAACGAAGCCACGCAGCTTTCCTCAAGGAGCTGTCCAGAATTAAGAGCAGAAGGGAGTAGAGTTTCTGCCCTAGTGGCCCCAACAGTGAAACACCACCAGGAGCACGTGGTGTGAGCTAAAGGGCCTTGGAGGTCTCAGGTACAGGGCACTGCTTCTGGTTTACAGTTAAAGAAGAGCCCACAGAAGAAACCACAGCATAATGTCAACAATAATCAATCATCACATCCATTTTTCCTATATGCACCTGCCCTTGTGCTGCCATCACATACTACTTTGCCAATGACAAAGCCAGCTGATACACAGGACTCATCCTTCTCCTTCCAGTCCCCAAATTCCATGTCTCTGCTAGTGCCAAAAACATCTGTGGGGAAAAGGAAGGAAGCCCTCTCTAACCAGCAGATGATAGAGTTTTATTTTTCCTTGGTGTTAGCCTCAGGCCTAGGTTAAGAAAAAAACCACCCAAAGCAACATATACAAAAAACTCCCTGCATGAAGAAGGCAAGTTTAGTTTCTGTAATTCTTAGTTCCGGCTTGTGGAAACACCCACCAAAAGCTTCAATAAGTAGAACTGCCTCTCACATAATTTCTTTAAACTGATGCTAGACCGGCTCTGACCTTGGTGCAGCTGCTCTGCTTCGGGAGTCGTGCTGGTGGGGGTGTTTGGCCCTCTGCAATCTGGGCTATGTGCTCTACTGTACAGGATATCTCCTGGAATGGAGAAGCAAAATCAAAGAAAGACAAACAAACTGATACAGAACTTAATATGAAGAACACTTATTTTTCTATATATACTATTGTTTTTACAGGAGATGCTGTCAGCTTTGTATTTTCAGACTCAGGTATATAAAAATAGAGATCCTACCCCTCTTAGGCAGTCCAAAGCTATACTACAGAGAGGTGTTTTTTATAAAGCTATTACTTCATGATTTCCTTGCCACACCCCTTGTTCTCTCTTATCTTTCTCTTAGCCTCCTTAATTTAATAGACCCTGTTCTTGTAAAGCTCTTTGCAAATTCAGAGCAACAGAAAGAACCTTTCGTAAAGAAAAATGACAGGTTTGGGCCTCTGAAATGCATCTCTCTCATGCAGAAAGAGCCTGAGTTGAACAGGTAATTTCACCGTGAGAATTCATAAAGCAGATCTATAGCCAGGTCTGACCATGGAGTTGGTGTGCTTTTCTTAGTACCAGCTATTGCATGAACAACGGTTTCCAGATAAAATACACACAGAACATTTCCACTAAACAGCACCCCTTTAAGCCTGCCACCAAACTCTGAACTTAGATGACTTAAGTAACCTAACAAGTTGCTGGCTTAGATTTTCATATTTCTGTAACATTACTACGGAACAGTGCCAGTTGACAGTGCTCAGGGGCTGCAGTTCCCTGTGCTGGGAAAAATCCTCACACTGGGGTCAGGACTCCACTGGGTGCTTTGGTCTTCTAACAAAATCCCAGTGGGACCTGCCAGTGTGAAGTCCCAATTTGTTGCCTTACGTGATCAGCTCGACAAGGAAGGTCACTGGAGCAGCGAAGTGCAGGATGCTTCAGACTGGTCCACCCGAGGTCTAACACTTAACTTGCTCCTCAGCCTGCACTAAGCGTGGCTGCATCTCAGTTTCTCTGTTTAGGAAGCAGTTTTTCCTACACTGTTCCTAGGGCTCTTGAGCCGTTGATTAAAACAAATAAACAAAAAAGCTACAAGTTTTCTTTCTGATCCCAAGCAATCCTAATCACAAGAGCTGAAAAATCCTTGTCCTTCAACTGTGGTCCAGTTTGTTTTCTTAAAGCAGAGAGTAAAGCAAAGTAAAAGTAAAGTAAAACCAGAAAAAAACCCAGTACCTCCTCCTCTCGTTTCTTCGTAATTGAAGATAGCATCGCTATCTTTCTAAAAGTCTAGCAAACAACTCAAACACATGAATATGGAAGCTTTCACAAAGTATTCAGTTGTCCAAGAGCAGTTTTAATGCAAGATAAGAAACTTCGCCATACTCAGATCAGATTAGAACACACACGGGGTAGGAAAGTAAAACATTATCGTGGCTCTGAATCTGTGGCGTGGCGGGGGGGGGTGGCGGTGGTGGAGGGGGACGACACAACACTGGCACAAGCAAAATCCTAAGAAACTCTCAATTTACAAAGACCTTCCATTACACAGCGTAACTCAGAGCGACCCCTCTCCTCAGCGCGCATACCCAGGAGACACGGACCCCGCACACTCCCTTTTCTTCCCAGCGCTCGGCAGGGAAGGGGAGCCCCCCGGGGCCCGCAGCCCACCCGCCGCACGGAGCCCCCGTACCGTCCGTCCCGCCTCCGGCGCTGCTGCGAGCGGCGGCTCCGCGGCCACGGCCGGCGACAGCCCTTCCTTGGCGACACCGAGCCCCGGCCAGGGAAAGCGGCGGTGCCCGGGGCGCGCTCCTCCCGGCCCGGGGGCTCATACCAGCGCGGGGCGCCGCATTTCGACAGGAATCGCTGTGGGGAGAGGAGGGGAGAGCAGGCGAGGGGGAAGCCCCGCCGCGGTCACCGACGGGTGTCACGGCGGTCCCGCCCCTCCCGCGGGCTTGTCACGCGTGGAGCGCCGCCAGTGCCGCGGCGCTGTCCCGCACCCCGCGGGGCACGGGCGGGACGAACTGCGGGTTATTGTTCGCCCGGCCGTGTCCCCCCCCAGCGCCGCTCACAGAGCGGAACACAGCAAACGGCCCCGCACCGAGCCCGCTCCCCGCCCGCTCACCCGGGCTGCGGGACGCGCCCTTAGCGCCCGCCCCTGCCCGCCGAGAGGCGCCCGCGGCCGGGCAGCGCCGCCGACCCCCGCCCGCTGTTCCGCCGGCGGCCGCGGCAGCGCAGCCCGCGCACGGCCATCCCTTATATCGCCGCGGCGGCTGCTATAAATAGCCCGGCCCCGCCGCCGGGGGCCGGGCCGGGCGCCGCCGGAGGGGGTTTCGCGGCTGTGCGGGGACCCGCCATCACCTGCGGCTCGGCGGCAACGACGCGTCTGTCACTTTGGACCTGTGTCGGTGCCGCTCTCCGGCGGGCGCGGGCGGCAGGGCGGCTCCCGGGGGGCCCGGGCCCGCCGACCCCCGGCGCGGCAATGGGCCCGTCCGCCGCCGCCGCCGCGTTAAGGTGGAACCGCGGGGCGGGAGCGGCCGCGGCACCTTAAGCCGCTGGGGCCGGTCCTCGGCCCGGCTCTCCCCGCCCGGCACCCCCGGCCCCGCGGGGCTGTGGCTCAGGGGGAGCGGAGCGACCCTCCGGGCCGTGGGGGTTTGTGCCGCCGCCAGGAAACGAGGAGGAGGAGGAGGAGAAGGAGAATGAACAGCCGGTTCTCTGCCTGATGGACGGGGCAGCAGCCGGAGGGCACGGGATGATACAAACGCCGCTCATGCCACATGAGCACAGCACACACCGAGCCTTTGAGAACCAGCTGCTATACGCACACCAGCCCTACTCCCACCACATTCCCCCCTCCCGCCGAGCCTCATCGACTTTTATGGCAATAACAGAATTTGTGTTTAATACACGAGAGCTCATCCTAGATGGGATTCTGGGAACACGTGTGCAGTGGTTACTTTTCCTACTTCTCCTTTGTGCTCTTAGCTGGCACTGGGAGACAGAACCAAAGCATCACTTCACATCTCACCTGCAGGCTCCTTTGCCACCTCACATCTTGCAGCAGAGAAGAGCAAAAGCCCTGCTCCTGCATGGGTGTGCACTCATTGACACATGCTGCCCTCACAGAGGAGGCTGACAATGCCCATGTGGGAATAACCCATGGCAGTCAGGATGGGCCAGGCTGGCTGTGCCCATGTCCTACCATGGAATTATCTTGGGCACAACCCTGTGGGGTGCTCAGGGACATGCCGAGTGCCCAGAGCATCTCAGAGGGCACCTGCTGATTTACCTTGCTCGGTCAGGACCCGCCTCCCTGCTGGTGTGCAAAGAAAACGTACCTTCAAAATGGTTCTTAAACACAAGTGAACAGCCCCAGCTCCCCTCCTGTGCCAAATTAGCATTATGTACACTCCAGTGCTCCCCCAAAAGGTCTACCCAAGGCAGTCTGGCCCCACACTGCAGCACACGTGAAACAAGACAGTGTCCATGCTGTCTTTCCCACATAAGTAAGAGGCAGAGAGGAGTACACTGCCATTTCACCAATAAGACACATGAGTGTCTGCCTCAAAATCTGCATTGGTCCAGTGGCATGGAGGTGGTGAGAGGGAGCAGCCCCACAGCACGCTGCCATAGCACACCCAGCTGTGCCCCCCTGATTGCTCACCCTGCAAATTCTCCACTAATCTCACCCCATCGGGAGACATAGGAGAAGTGCCCAGGAGAACTCTCACAGGCTTTCACAACCGAAGTGCAGGATAGAGGTGTTTCTTTTAACATGAATCAACAGCTGGGTCTGTAAGACGTGTTTGTCAACAAGCTTCTCTGTTGGCTACAAATTTTCCTTCTAGTACAAAACAGTCTCCTCAGTTTGCCAGGGCAGACTGGGATGGAGGGGGATTTCCCAGGGCAGTGTAGCTATGAGGAATCTGGTTTTTGCTATCAGCACATCTTGCCACCAGTGAGGGCAGAATTGGCAAAGCTGCTCGCAGCAGGTCATTTATGCACCCTAGATGTGTGGAAATGTTGTCAGTAACTTCTGCAGGGACAGCAGAAGTCTGGGAGTGGTAGGCCAGAGATTTCAGGTTTAGATCTTTAAATCTGAGTGTCTTTGTTCTCTTAAACAGATTGCCCTTCAGAGCAGGCACACTTCTACTTCTCTGGAGGTAAATGCATTTGCAAACCAAGCCCAATATTCAGACACCCAAATCCCCAAACCTGAAAATCTCTGATGTATTTCATACCCAAGTCTGTAACATTTGAGAGGGGAAGCCCATGGCCTGGTTCCTGTGTGTCGGATATCCAGGCTATTTGTCAGTTCTCCTCAGTAGCCCTTCTGCCCATAAGAAATAATAAAGTTATGTAAGGAGGAAAGCCAAAAAGTCCTCTATCAATTCCAGCCAGTATCTGGAGCAGCATTATATTTCTTGTAGTGCGTATTCATTAACAACATTGCTAAAGGGGAATTACTGCTGTGGTTGAGCGCTTATACAATACAACTCCTATTTAAGTGCATTTTTGTATCCTGCTGAGTCACCCCAAGGAGCCCTCAAACAAAACATCACGTTCAGTTTGACAGCAGAGGCAGAGGCATGAAGAACTTCCCCTTTACCAGCCCTCCCTGGGGGGATGTGAGTGCAGAATGGGCGACGCTTCAAACTGTGGAACCGAATGCAAAGCTGAAAGAAAAGAGTGTCTTAAAATTTCAGCCAACATATCCCCCTGTACAGATTCAAGCACATGACATTTCCAGCCTGTTTCAGCTTCAGTGAATAGATTAAAGTGACCATACACTCTCTGAACTGCTCAGGTCACATTGTACTTCAGGCAAGCTCCCTCTAAATCAGAGGGCACATTATTTATATAGCATAATATTTCACTAGTAGGTCTAAATGAATGTGGCTGTTTATTATCCCATATTAAAGCTGAGTGGGTTAGTACAGCATGAGCCTCTTGGCTTGTTTTGCTGCCAGCTGCCTTTCGGGCTGCTGGGGACGGTTCCCTTGCCCCAGGTCTTCATCGGGCAGCTGCAAGCACAAGGGCTGGCACACACCACAGCAAGGCAGGGACTATTTGCACCAAAAAAAGTAATGTTTTCTCTGCAGGAACAGTGCAACAAGTAGGATTTTTGTCTGTACAAGTTCCTGCCAGTGCCACGTCCCTGCAGGGGAGTCAGAAGACGGAGATGGGGTTTGAGGGGATGTGGTGGCTGTCCCATGAGCTAACCCAAGGTGCTGCTGGCATCACTGCCTGGAGGGCAGCTGGGCTGTGCTGGAGCAGGGAGCTATACCTGGCTGCACCCTGCAGAGATGTATGCATCATTCTGCACTGTGTCAGGTCTTGCTACAGCACAGCCCCACAGGCTTGACCCTTGGTATTGGATTTGGAGAAGAGCACAAGAAGACCAAAACCTGAGCCCTGTTTGATGGTTCAGTCTCAAATGAGCTGCAGAGGAAAAAGTTGAGGTGCTCCTAACACTGCCAATTGGCTCCAAATATGAAAGAAACCAATATAGTAGCTTTGCTGCCTCTGTAAGTACAGTTGGACAGAGGTGGCAGATCACTCCTTCCAGCTATGGATGAGCAGTATTTCTGTGCATCTATGGACTAGGAACAATGAAGCTATAAAGACAGCTTTAACAGCTGCGATTGATTTCACTGGTGCTTGGCACAGACCACTGTAAAGCTACTTAGCAGTAGAGGACATCTAGTGATATTCACATGCAACTACAAAAACACGATAAAAGTTCACATGTGACTGCTTCAGAGCCAGCATGGCTAGAGAAGGGACGTGGTGTGGCTCCAACAGCTACAGGAGGGCTGGGACAGGCTGACCATGAGCACCCTCTATAAACAGGTCACAAAGGAAAAACTTCCTGAAAGGTTTTATTGCATGGAGAACATACAGTGAGGGCACAGAGAGGAAGCTCGGGGGAACTGGTGGTGTTGCACATTTTAAGGAGATATTACAGGGAAGTTCAGTGCTTTTATTTCTGTAACAAAGACCATGTAAGCAGGGATACAGAGATTAACATCAGTTGCTTTCTTTCAGGAGTCTTTTCTCTTATCTCAATTTGCCTTTCATGTGACTCATCCTGAGCACACAGGGCAAACAACTTCAAAATCAAGATATTTTTTTCTCCTCTAGTACAAGAGACCAACCCTTTCTTCATACCCTTTTGCAGCCTACTGCTCTCTATTCTAGGAAAGATGCATAGAATACTTCCCTCCTCCAGGTTATTTATAACAGGGGGTTCTCTAGAAATTTTTTTCAGGACATATTCCAGGCCTAGGATGAGGAATTTGGCTGCAAAACAAAGAGACTACCAATTTGGTTTCTAGAAAGGCAAGGATCAGCAGAGCTTTCTAAAAGAACACACTTCCCTAGGGCAATAGACTCATTTTATCTGACACTTCCCTTGAATGGAATTATTCCCATTAAGATCACCATTAATTTAGGAGTACGGGCTTCACATTTGAGGTCTCACCATCTTGCACTTATTTCCATTCCAAATTCACTCGTCTACAAGTTTTGAGGAAAGGTGAGACTTTATTATCCTAATAAAACACAAGGAAATTAAGTCTCTGCTGGCCAGATTAGAGCCTTGGAAATAGCTGTGCAAACCTACAGCAGGCAAGTTTGTGGCTTCAACTCAGCAAACAGGGCTATTAAATGATGGCAGCAGACTGGACAACACTGATGGGTGCAAGCAGAGAGTGACCATAGCATCAGCTGCCAGACAAGACTTTATCTCTTACAGAATCATTTCTCTGGGCTGGATTACATGCTGAAGGCCTGATCCTGGTCACTCTTGCAATGGGAATTGAATATGAATCTGGTGTGCAGAGATATCTACTCAAAATGCCAAAGGTGATGTTGAAAGGCCACAGAGGCAAAAGAACAGAGGAAAAGGCTGTATTAGCTAACTGCAACAACT